CTCTCTCTCTCTCTCTCTCTCTCTCTCTCTCTCTCCAACCGAATCACTTAGACAGTAAACGATAGATTCAGGAAGTTTTATAACGATTTTAACTCTTTTATATACTATATTACTCTATATTTTTACTCAAACATCACAACATTTTAAAGAAATTGTTTAATAATGTTTGCAAACAATTAATTTCCTTTTTTATAACTAATTACCGCAGATATAATAACTCCAAAACTCAGTTTTTATAAATATATTGCTTTTAACAACTATTTACTTTTTATAAAAAAGATATAATTTAAGTGCCAAACAATTAAAGTAAATGTTTTCAATTATTATAATTTAATAATTATCATTTTAAATGTTTTGTTATTTTGTTAAATTCATAATTTATGTTGGATTTTGATATTCAAATCTCTATTTCAATTAGTGTTTTATATATTCAATGATTTATTGTTTAAACTATATTTCTAAATTTTATAGAGAAAGTACACCTTACATAAAGTACTAGAGATTTTCTGTATTGAGATTTACAGAAAGGTGATTTAATGAAAGTACACTCAATAATTAGTCGAGTGATATACTTCTTATGTCGAGATGCCTTCGGGTCTGACATATCATAATATGATATAATTTTCATCTCATATTATGATGGAAGTTATGGAAGTGTTGTGTGATATTAACGTAAAACTCTTATTGAAAACTGTTATATAAGAGTGAATTGAAAATTAGAAATCGGTTTAACTTTTGGAACATTTAATAGAAATCACTTATTGTTAAAATGGTTTCTTATTTTCTCAAACAATCATTCGTTCATTTAATAAACAGAAACACATTTACTAATTACTGAAAAGTATTCATTTCTCTGCATTTGATTATTAATTTTATCTTAATTTATATCAAATATATCTAAATATTTTTAACTTAAATTCAAGGAGTGAATAATTTTTAAGCAATCTATTTTATTATTTATAAATGGCGCATGTACATAAATTTAATCAAATATATATTTTTGAAAATTGTTTATTGTAATGAAAATTATTTATTATGCTCAATTATAATGATAGCAAAATTTAATTTTGTAACAATATGATACAATACACATTACCGTTATAACATGTATAATTTATATACATAATACAATATGATAATTTATAAAATATAATATATTTATTATAATTCTTGTATGTGATAATGGGGAAAATATATTTTGTTATATAATTATATAAAAAATTTAATGAAATATTTTTAATATAATATTATTTAATAGTAAGTAATAATTAGTAAGTTACTACAAATGATACATTTATTTAAAATTTGTTATATTTTACATATTTAATGCCAATATTTAATCTCGTTGCTTCGTTGTATGAACACAATTAGTGTTTAAATATCAACTTTGTTTGTTTTACATTCAAATATATTCTAGGTAAATTGATTTGAAAATATAACTGTATTATAATTGAGTCAGACATGGTTTTCATTACCAAAAATGATTATACATTAGAGGAACAGTCTTCGTCTGCGGATAAGAATAAACAGTCTTTTGAAGCCTACAATCAAAAAATTAATTATGAATTATTAGATACCATTATATTTAATTAAAATTGGTAATTAATAGTAAAAATGTTATTCACAAAATGAGTTTAACTGTTAATCCGTATTCACCAAAATGAATGTTGATTATTATGGTAATTATGATGTTTCTCGTCGTGACAGCATTTACAACAACAACTGTCGTCTTCTCTCACATTTTTGGTCCTAAAGAATCGGTCGCGCAGTCGATCTCTTGTATCTCTGTCTCTGTCTCTATGGACGTGGATATGAGTCCTCCCGAAGAGGCCAAACACAGGAGAATATAACAAACATATGATTACAAAACATATGTAAAGCGAGACACGGATTAGATTTCGTTTATTAATTTCTAATTAAAAACAGTTTAAAAATGATTAGAAAACACAAACAGAATCATAGATTTGTTGGAATACTTACTAAACATAACGAAAATTAAACAAATTTATGTATTAAAAAGTCTTAAGATGTGTTGAAAACGCAACCGAAAAGTGAATGAATGTCTACATTAAACATAAAGTAAAACTAAATCTACTTTAAGTTGACTTTGAATTCAACTCATTATCATATGAAAGACTTTTGAGATCTATTTATGAGTTATTTGTTACGCTTCTCTCCTTTCGAGTCCATTATTTCACATGAATTGTACACAAATTCTCATGATTTGCTAAATATTGCTATTTTCTAATGTAAACACAGTATATAACATATAAACCAGATTTCGGTGACAATTATATGAAAATTGTGTAACTAATAGTCTCATCATATGTGCCTCATTTGGCCTCAAGTCAAACAATAAATGTATACTACATATCATTGTATAGTGAAATACTGTAGTGAAAACATTAGCATATTATCTGATTGTCATCTAATGATCTGAAAACACATAATCTTAATAATAGATTCGTTGAGAATTTAATACAATAATGAAAAGTTTAGAAACGAATTCAAATTAACACTAATATAGTCTTAAAACTTCTCTCATTTACTTAAAATAAACTCAAATATTAAAGAAATCGATGCCTTTATGGTTAATGAACTTATTTTAAAACTTTTCCATTAATTTGTTCAATTTGTTTTATACAATGTTTACTGTACAATAATTTTTGTGGGAACATTAAATAGCCTATTTTGAATAGGCATTAGGCTATTTATACATTTATAAAAAAAGTGACAATTTTTATTAAAAATTTATACAATATTTTGCCTTGCGACAATTTTATTTATTTTACAATTTAAAAAATTACTTCAATGTAAAGCACAAAAAACACTTCAACTTTATGTCCCATTTATAATATATTGTACATTACAAAAAAAACATTTCACCATCTTTAAAATATAATTTATTTCATTAAAATATGTGCAAAAGTGTGGGCAAAAAATCTGACCACAACTTTAAATTCTCGAGATTAGGTCGAAAGACATTTCTACTATAATAAACTATAATTTGCTTTAATCATATTTAATTTTGTTTTTGTTTTTTATAACTAGTATTAATATTACCGTAGTAATATGTCAATTTTATAACCACTAAACTAATAAAATGTGTTTAATATATTCTTTACCTATTCTTTATATACGGTATTATATATTGGTGTCTTTAGAGCAAGTATCATAATCCCTTTTAAATGACCACCAAATTACTTTGGGACATGTTGTCGCCTGAACACCCTGTAGCCAATACATTAAGCAACACATAAATGAATGCACAAATTATTTTTATTCAACTAAATGAACGTTAACTTAATACTGAAATAATACATAAATTAATTAAGGTATCATTCAAAGCCTAACCCTATCCCCCAAATCCATCAACTTTTCTTGATTATTCATTTCCCACTCGTAATCACCGCAATAGCCATTAAGTATGGGTGCGGCCGGTATTCCTCGCCTAAGCATTCGACACCTGTGCTGATCCAGTCTTAGTCTAGCGGTGTCCACATCTTGAGTGCTCTCACTATTACTCCATAACCTTTCGGCAGCACTCGATGCTCGAGGCCTTAAATATCATAAAATGCATTTCAGTCGGCATTATATTTATACTAAAAGTGAATACTATATAAAGGAGGATCGGCAAATCTGCCTAAGCTTGCACCCGGGATTTGACAATATAAAATGAAAGTATTGTACGTAAGGAGTCCAACGATATAATCCATATGGCCGACCGACCTCGGGTTCGGCGGTAGTGACCACTTTTATCGGGAAAATTCAACTTATCCAATATTAACATGTGATATGTGAAATCGATGTAGAATTTAATGTAGAATTAGAATATCGCAATATCACATCTGTAGGGTCAATTGGTTTTATGTTATCTACTTAAAACTGTTAAATTTTAGTTAAAATTAGTAAAATAACCTATTATTCCTCAACCTCTACTATCTACGCCAACACCACACACATCCCTAGGCCACCTTCAGCACTTATGACTCAATAGTCACCACTACTAATCGCGGACCAAAAATAAATTGATAATACATTAAATCTATGCACCCTAGCGAGATATGATTACGATATTCTAATTCTACGTTAAATTCTACATTGATTTCATATATCATATGTTAGTATTGGATAAGTTAAAATTCTTGCTAAAAGTGTTCACTGCGGCTGAACCCGAGGTCGGATGGTCATATGGGAAAGATCAATTTACTTCATATTTGACATAGTTTAATGTAATACAACAAAACGCTTTTAATTTGTAAACAAATTTACAAACCCAGGTAATCTATGTCCCCATTACAGATTTTATAAAACCCCATTACAGATCTGCCGATCCTCCTTTGATATAATATTATAATATTACCACAATCGGGACAATACATTAGTGCCGTCCACAAACTCAGACCACATACACACTTCTCCGCCAATCACTAAATCCTTTTCACTTTCGGTACCTTTTAATGCAATTTCAAGATAAAAATATATTTTATAGCTAGAAATAAATTGCATTCATAGGCATTACCATTAAAATGTCTCGGATCACATAAATAATATTTTTCCCAGTCCTTGTCCGGATATGGTGTGGAAATATAATTAAGATACCAACATGCTGATAATACCATTTGGTAGCCTATCGTATAAAAAAATATATGCTAAAATTGTATAATACTTTGCCCATCATAAAACATGTGTTACCATTCTTAGCGATTTTGGAGATATAGTTTTGCCAGAGATCTAAATTGCTGTCAAGATAGGTGTCCTTCCAAATCACTACAATTGAATCCTTGTCGAGCTGTCATACGATTAGATTATTTTAACAGTTTTATTATTTTGTGTTATTTGTTATTTTCACAAAGATTGACAATCATATAACACTTATCATATTATATAATACTATACATTGTATAATATAATATAATTCGTGTTATCAATTGAAAACAATTTCACAATGTTATTATGACCATCAATTGTTAAGAAGTTATGAAAGCTAATTTCGCAAACAGTTGCATAGATGCAATACTAAATTTTACAACTATTTGCATCAATAAATTAAAATTAATACATTTTAAAATTTATTAGCAGTAAATTAAGTGATAAAACTTACAGTGACGCCATTGTCAACCGGGTCCTGCCATAGCATTGTATTATAGCCAACATCTTTAACATTGGTTAATGTTTTCCTCACGTAATACTCTTCCACTTGATTTACTTTTGTCATATTCTGGTCTTTCATGAATTTAGCGATATCTGGGTTTGATTGCCAACAACCATAATTCACTTCGTCCATCCCTTCATTCACGCATTTTAAATGCATTAAACTTATTAAAATTATTGCATTATATATTTAAAAATTTTGTGGCAATTGTATTATTTCTATACAATTTAGACACAATGCAAACAAATTACATGGACTCTCATGTTATTCAGTATAAACCATTAAAATATTAACTGTACTAATCTATAAAGTATAACATAATTATAGACAATGTTTTTGTGAACTAAAAATTTTAAGATATTTAAAATGAAATGTAAAATTCACCAATTTCAATTTTAAATACAGCGAGAGTACACAAGAAGTGAATATCTGAATAGCATTTAAATGAGCAACTCAAATTCAAACGAGATTTAAATTATACAAAAACAATAAATAAATGTTTTGCACTATTTGTAGATATAATTATTGGCACTTAATTACAAAGTGTTATAAATTGAAAGCTTTTTAAATTTGGTTTATGTCTTAAGACAAATGAAACGTTTCTCAAGAAAAAGTGTTCTCGTTTGAAAAATAGTGTCAAAAAAGTGTCAAAACATGAATTTGTTTAAATGATGTTAAAATACGGTTTACAAACCCACGTGAACGAAATCATCTTTAAATACTTGTTTAAACTCTTTAAAGAGTTCTTTCAAGAAAACAAATGTAAAATTCTTCAATGGATTTAAGAGCTCTGACGCTGAATAGTCCGGATAATGAGGA